ACGCTTGAGGTATTCGGCCAATCACAACGCATTGGATATCTGGCCAATCAGAGCACACCTCGCTTTTCAGACCGATTAGTTTTGTAAAAATCGACGCGTTTCAGAAGGCGGGGCATAGAGGAGAAACAATAATGTACAGTATGTGGAAAATAATGTTATTTTTTTTTACTTTAAACCGCATAAACACATTTCATTACACCAAATACACAAAATAATGTTCTTTTTAGCAGCATCATATGACCCCTTTAATACATTGTGTGTACGGTATGTAAATCAAACGCACATCCGCTGTTTACGTGGTTTTAAAAACAAGTACGAGCATGATCGGTTAGACTTTCACAATAACGGTTTATATTAAAACCTGTTTGTGAACCGCCGACGTCCTTCAGCCTGAAAACATCGCAAAATATTCGTGCCTAACAAGATTCGCCACAGACACTCTCTACGATGTAGCACTTAAAAACCAATCCTCAATTTTGCACTGACTCACTAAGCATTATCCGAGCAGCTTTCAAACACGGAGCCCGCCCCTAAAAACCAGGAAAGTAAAAAAAAACATTGACCGTTTTCCCCATTATCGATGCATTTTGGGCAGCGTATAGCTACGTGAGCAGCATAGGATACAAATTACGACGCACATTTGTTCGAAGGCGTGTTGTAATCACAACTATGCATACTCAACATCACGCACTACAAAATTTAGTGTGCACTTCCATTTCGCCGTACTCTGATGTAGGCCGTACACATCAAACAACTGACTTCAAGAGGCTATCGTGCTGAAACAAAACAGTAAGTTAAAAATCCGATAAATATTAATATATGAGAATACATTTACGGAAATGACAGTACAACGACAAAGAGCGACGCAGGAATGAGCACAGCTGCGCATAACGGTACTTACTTTTAGCAGTAGTGCGAAACACAAGGGTGTGAGCAGATGAGATGGATTTAGCAAAGGTGCATGAAAGTAGGTGTAATCTCGCAGTTATTCAGGGCAATCTGTACAGTTTTGTGCGTTCTTCATAATCCAGTCTGTTTGCATAATTTTCTTAAATCCCCGTAATAGAAAAAGAAAAAACGCCAAGGGAAGTTTGGCGTTAAAGTTGACGTTCAAACTCTTCCACTTTTTGGTGTTTTCCCCCGCTTCGTTCACTGTTGGTTTTAGTCGTATACTTGTCAGTCCACCGACAAATAATGCACACAGCTCAGATTATCTATTTTTCAACATTTATCGCTTCACATGTCCGAGTTGAAAGGGTCTCTAGACGTACTTCTGCCGGGTGCTGTTGAGTGGCGAATCCAGTCAGGCGAATGAAAGACTGAAGAGGAGGGCCAAAAAAAAACGAGGAGTGCAATACTAAATCTGAAGGGCGGGGCAGATGACGATTAACTGCACGCGAGTTATGACGTGTTAAGGATGACGAGATGTTTGAGGATGTAAACGACACCTGTAAAACGATAGGAGTACATACACGAGGCATGGAATACAGAGTAGAAGCTTAGTCTTATTTAAAACGATACATTTGTTAGCCACCAACCAAAATAGAACCCAAGGCCTGCAGTTAATTCTAGTTCTTCTTTTTTTTAAACATTAAAAGAAAGTGTTTTCTTGTTAAATATTCAAATAAATTTTTTTATACATTTGTCTGTTGTGAATTTTTAAATCCAGAAGCGCACATCACATTCAAATAACCATTGTCTTCATTGTGCATGTCTCTGATTAATAAAACAGAAAACTTAGTTTAGTACAAATTTAAATTGTTAAAATTTGCAGAATATAATGCAATGGAAATCAAAGAAGTTTTAAACACTAATTAAGTAATTTGTTATGCATCAAAGTTCACTACTATAAAAATGCAGAACTGTTCATATGCAGCCTTCATAAAAGCCAATGGTATGTAGACTTAAAGGGTTAGTTCACCCAAAAATGAAAATTTGCCCATAAATTATACACGAGAATGTTATTTAAAAAAATTATTATAATAAAATGTAAAAATAATAAAATATCACAAGTACACACAAATTTATTCCTGTAATCTCACACAGATATACAAAGAAATATTGTTTAAAATTTTATTCAAATTTTTTTTTTTGTAATTGACAGGTTGTGAAACAACAGTTGAAGAAAATAAATAGAATAATAATAATGATTGTTCATTAATGGTAAATCTGTAAATAAAATGTCTAAAAATACATGGATTCATCGTAACATGTGCCAATGATCCTCTATCTTCATAAATAATTTAAAAAATGCCCTCCATCAAGAAATTGATAAATTAATTGCAAAAAAAGATAGAAATCACTTTCCCTAAATAATAATAATAATAATATCCCAAATGTTTAAATCTTGACCTTCATTTTAAAAGCATGATATATATACAATGAAATACATTTTTAAATGTTTTTAACTTTCATGAATCTTCTCGAATCATCCACAATAAAAAAAATTAAAAAAAAGAAGAAAAACTAACAAACCTAAAAATAAAAAACTCTAACTACAGCCTCTCTGTGATAAACTATATTCAGTCATTTTAGGGAGGTTTGCGATATAGGACCAGCATCCCATACCACAGGTCATTCGTTTCCTTAAGTGTTGAAGATGAAGAACTATGTATAACTGGACTCAGATTAGAGACCAAGAGCAAATCCTTCAAAACTCCCAAAAGGACATTCTTTCTCTATCTACCATATACCACCCATGATTCTTTGCTCTGATCACATTGACCCAGTCCCACCCTCCCAACCGTTTCGATATGTCTACACATGGTCCCCTCACATTTCTATATACATATTTTACATTGCTGCAGAAAGACTTTAATAGTTCATAGTTCCTTTGAACCCAGAAGCGAAACTCGTGTAGTACTGACATATTTGCATTGGTCCCATTTGTGTGTGTGTGCAGGGCATAGATGTGTGGGCCGAGAGCAGAAAGGTCACGACCCACAAGCAGAAGAGCAAGTGGCATTGCGTTGCTGATTGGTCCTATATTGTATACAGTTAAGGTAGCAAATCATTCTATTTAACCTGCACTTCTTGCGATAAGTCTGTCTTTGTGATTAAATGTATATTTTTGTTTAAATAATCTCGGTAGGTTTTATACTGTAGTTTTGTGAAAGTTGTTGGTCCCGTAATTTGCAGAGGAGGAAAAGAGACTTGTAATTGACTCCGATAGTCCTCTCCTTTCTTCCCTGTGAGAGAAAGAAAATGAAAACAGCAGTTAAGATCAAGTCATAAAAAGACAAAAAACACTCCTACTTATTTCAACACTATTGTGCATTTGGGAAGGTTATCTAAGGCTACGTCCACATTAATCTGGATAAATCTGAAAACGCATTTTAACAAAAAATCTGAATTTTCTTGCATCTGAAAATATCACAAATTCCCATTTGTGTCCAGCAAAAAAACAGCTGTTTGAAGGTGCTCCCAGAAGTATATAAATTTGAAAACAGTTTTTTTCATTGTAGTGTGGACTGAGATAACGGAGCTACGTTTAGTCATGTGACACATATTGTACCCATATATATCTATGGTTGTACCAACATTGATGTGCCTTCTATTCAATTTAATAATGTTGTTAAAGATAAATGTTACTATGTACAATCTTCATATTACATTCCTGCAAAGATAACAGTTTGAGTGTGACCTGGACGCACTAGTGAGAGGTGGGATATTTGCTAATAAAATGATAGTGCCAGAATAACTTTATTACGTCTGGTCTCTCAGTGAGCGTTTATGAGGTTTTATGTAAGCACAGCAAGGCAATTTAAGCGTTTTCAGGTGAGCAACTTTTGGAAAACGCTTAAAAATGCTAGTGTGGATGGAGAAAAATGCTAATATGGACGTAGCCTAATGCTTACCATTCTATACTTCCATGCAACCTACATTGTGAATCAGTGAATGGGGTTTTATGCAAGAGTGTGTTTCTCTGTTAGTGATCATTTGAAGTGGGGAAACATTTCTGGCAGGCAAACAAATTTCCAACATGCACCATAGGAATTCTGGGCTGTATTGTGTTCAGACGTTGTCTTAACTGCGTCTTTTTTGAGTGCTCAGACGAATGACTGAATATAAACTATAAATAGGTTTTCCTAAAATAACCCAGAATTCCTACAGGGGAATGCTGTTCTTTGGTCGGCACAATGCGTCACTTGTTTGACCATAACAACCACAAAGTGTCACCTCAAACCTCAGCGTGAGAGGTTTGAGAGATATAATGAATGAAGTTCCCTACCTCTCGTTCGCTCTCACGCTCAAACGCACGAATCGCTCGTATCATTCACGCAAGCACGTACACAAGCTCACTCGTTGGCACGAAACAGCATATCCACTAGCACAAATGCTCTCGGAATCAAATACAACCACACTGAGACCCCCCCACCCCACCATTCACAGTAACTATAACACCACCAGACTACATATGGGAGTATTTTGAATAAGAAATAGAGTCATGACCAAACAAAACACAGAGGAGACTGATCAAAAACAAAATCCACCCAAAAGCAGCACATTGAGCTGGTTGATTAGAGTTCAATAGGATCAATTTAGGTTGAGTAACTCCATTAGCTACTGGAGTTACTTTAGGAGTAAATCACAGATAAGTGTCAGTTATTGATCAGTATTTATAAAACAAAAAGAGAAAGTCACAACGCACCAAACACAGTCCATAGTCACCACGGTAACCCGCCATGCACTCTCAGCATGGAGGATACATGACAAAGGGCCAAAAAACAAAACTGCTAATGGCAACCATCACAGGCAGGAATATCTCCACAGTAATCAACACAGGCCAATCAACTTACAAACCAACGCTGTGGGAGGAAGGGGGAGCTTTATTGGTTGCTAGGCCACCGTAGCCATAGCGACGTGGTCTCCGCACGAGTTATGATTGGACAGGGCAGCCTTGGTGTGGATGAGGTTGTGTTTGTTTGTTTGATTGTTGTTGTTTTTTTTTTTGTGAACAATGACACAGCACAAAAACAATAAATGAAAAGTAAAAATTAATGAGTGCTTTTTCTTTTTCGACTACGTTTTTAAGATCTAATGCTGATGAGTTATGCTTTAGGTTACAGTATTTAATAATAAATCATTAGGTCAGTAGTAACAATTTTAATCAGTCAAAACAGGCTAGACTGGTTAGTTTAGAACTGTTCACAAAGCATAATACTGAGAGATCTAATGAAGAGGCACTTGTTTTCTTCACCTGTTCGGCTCAGTATGGGCGGTTGGCGTCTTTAGGCCTCTTCAGCTGAACTTTAAGCCTCTTCATGCCGATCTGAAAGCCGTTCATGGACTGGATGGCAGCCTGAGCGCTCGCTGGGTTGTCGAAGCTTACAAAACCTGCGACATGAAGGGCGTGACCAGAAACAAGAAAGAAACAGAAGATGTAAATGCTGTGGAGGAAGTGCTTCGGTGAATGAGTCACTGATGATTCCCTTGGCATTTCAACAGCATTTTAACGGTAACCTTCTTATAACTATGGAGAGATTTAACAGACTAAATAAATAATTGAATAAATAAATAAATAAGGTGGCATGCATATTTTTTCTTGCCGTCAAGACTTTGATACATTTCATTTCAAAGCATATTTCATGTCATTTTTAATTTCAAGGCATTTATCATGACGTATTTCATACAAGTTTTCATGTAAATTTTCCTGTCATTTCATGCCCAATTGATTAATTTGATGTATTTATTTTATTATTATGGTGTATTTCATTTCACATTTCATTACGTTTTTCAATTTAAGGTGTATTTCACATCCTTTTTCATGTTACATGAAAAAATTTATATATTATTTTATATCTTATTTATTTATGCTTACATTTAATTCTATTTCAGATAGTATTTCACATCGTTATATTATAAAAATAATTATATGTATTTCACACCTTATTTATGCCTACATTTCACTGTACTTCATTTAAAGCAATATTCCATTACGTATTGAAGAATTTCATTTTATATATATATATATATATATATATATATATATATTTATTTCATTTGGTCTGTATACATACAGCATCTAAATCACTTTTTGGAAATCACTCACCAAAGCATTTGCTCTGGTTGGTGGCGCGGTCAACGAACACCTTGGCTGAAATGACGTTACCGAAGGGCAGAAACATCTGCAGCATCTCAGAGTCGGTGAACTCCTGAGGCAGATGATAAATAAATATATTGCAGCCTTCTGGGCCTGGAGGGAGTAAGAGGAGAGAAGGTATGAGACATTGGCAAGAGCGAAATACATGAAATACATCAGACCACACTGTTACACATGTTTCATTCTAATTCTTCAATCATAAAAAGGAAGTAACCATGTTGATCCCTGAATGAAAGATGGTGCTTTGAATATTTTCGTGGCACAGCATGAGATTCGGAGAACAACGATTGAGAAATATGTTCAATTATAGTCTAGGAAATCATCAAAACAGGATATCAGTGGTTATAGTAGCCAGTTAGACAGGAAATGACATCATTACCTTCTCGTTGTTGCAGCTGCTGCGGCTGCTGGGCAACCAAAGTGGGCTGATGTGGAAATGGTTGACCAACCAATCCATAAGCAGCAGGATATGTAGCTGTGGGTGGAGTAATGAAGTTAAACATGAGATCAGGTTCAAATGCATTTGCCAGCCTTGCTGTAAAAGTAGCCAAAACCAACTCAGCTAGTGACCAGCTTCAATAAGCAGCTAAAAAGTCTTTGATTAAACTTCATGAAGCTTGATTCATTTCTGTGAATCAGTTCTTTCGAGCTAACCATGCCAATGAATTCAGCGATTCATTTACGTCATTATCATTCATGGAAAGCCACATGTAGCAGTTTACAGTGTTTAAAATGTTTTAGTAAAAATGTACAGGGTTAAATACTTATTTTATGAATGCTTACTGTTAGATTGGTGTATATTAATAAAAACATGCACATGAATAAATATCTATTGTTTGTGTTCATTTAGTAAAAACAAGAAAAATTTGGAAAACAACGTTTGTTATTTGAACTAAATTAGATTGTATTTTATTTATTGCTTCAGAAATTTTAACTGGCCTGTTTGTAAAAAGCTGTGTTTTTATTTTATTTTATTTCATTTTTTGAAAAAGGGAGTACTAGACTCCACATTTTCAGCGTCAACAAAATTCAAGTTGCATTTCAGGAGTTCAGAAGCCTCACCCGTGTAGTGTTGCATGCCTGTATACGCCTGCTGGAGAGGATCCAATGCAGGACTCTGAGCTGAAGGAGAGATACATGAAAACAAACAGAAGAAAAGTAGAGATTAGACAATTAGTAATAAATCGAGAGAAGCAGAAATTGTGATCATGACTATAATATGATTTCTCGTGCAGCCCTACAATATAGTATTAAAATGAATAAAGACTGGAGGAACTATCCTCACCCTGATATGGATGGACACCATTAGTGTAGAGGGTTTCAGTGGCAGACTGGCCATTGGGTGGTGCGGAGACTTGAGGGTAACTGTTGAGTGCGATTGGTGGAGGCAAAGCAGACAAAGGTGTGGCAGCAATGGCTGGAGGAGTACTTGTACCTACAGCAGAATGACCCATTACAAATACTTGATTAAATCCAACAAGTCTTGGAATGGGAATATTTCTACAGACCAAATTGCTTTTGTAGCAGACTGATATTTACCTGAGGAGGGCGTGATTGAGGCGATGGGTGTGGCTATGATGCTGCTGGGATTGAGAGCAGCCAACTGCTGCATCTGCACCGCGGCAACCGTCGCCACAGGAGACAGATATGCGGACTGAGCCACCAAGGCCTGCTGTTGGACGAGCTGAATGGGACAAAAAAAGGAGTGAATCCAAAGCTTTGTACAAAATGACTACGACACATAAAATTCTGAGCAGAGCTGGACTAAATTCAAGTCCTGTGCAGGGGTTGTACTGGGGTTATTAGGTCAATGCCATTTCAATAACAACTTCCCGTGTGCAGAATGGAAAGTAATTATGGAAGTATTTCTGGTACCAAACCTAATGCAACTTCCAGTTATTGCTATAATCCCAATTCAATTTCATCCCAATCTATTTTCTGTGAACTAAATCCTGGTACATACATTGGCCCATAAAATATTTGGAAACATAAGCCACTCCTAAATATGAAAGTCATTGGATTAGAAACCAAAATATGAAACCAATTAGAAATTAGTTTAAAGACAGACAATGTTCAAAATTGTTTGCTGGATTTAAATGATTAAATATACTGTTCAAAATAAAGTCACAATTATTTAGTTCCTCAATGGACATATTATGTAATACACACTACTGTTCAAACGTTTGGGTGGTTTCAGTAAGGTTTTTAAAAATGTTTTTCAAATCTCTTAATCTCACCAAAGTATGGAAGCCCGTTTCCGCCACTGAATAAAAAATAAAAGAGGTAATTGGAAACGGGCTTCCATACCAAAGCTGCATTTATTTGACATTAAAAAAAACTGTAAATATTGTGAAATATTATTACAATTTCAAATTGTTGTGTATTTCAATAGATTTAAAAATCTAATGTATCCCTGTGATGCAAAACTGAATTTTCAGCATCATTACTCCAGTCTTCAGTGTCACACAATCCTTCAGAAATCATTCTAATATGCTGATTTGATGTTTCTAGAAACATTTCTTATTACTATCAATGTTGAAAACAGTTATGCTGCTTAATATTGCTTTCTAGAAACTGAGATTACTCATTAATGTCAGCATTAATCAGCAATAATTTCTGCCCCCAAACTTTTGAACAGTAGACCAAGTATATTCCTGCACTGGATCTTGTGTACTGTTAGTGCTCACTGCCTGTGTGTAGGCGTTGTAGGCGCCCAGGTGTAGACTCATGGGACTAATGACACCCAGCTGGGAGGCCACCTGCTGCATACGCCTGATTCCTCTCTCCTTCTCTGTGTCTGCAAACTTCACCACCAGACTAGAAGATGCACCCTGAGGGGATAAAGAAAATCCTCATTCTCAAACAACATCAAATAAAAGTCTTGAGGTAAAATATGCAGTGGGTGATGTTAAAACAAAGCGCAAAGACTCTGTAGTGAGTGAGTATGAATATATAAACAATGTGCTACAGTGTTGTGTTATGCCTGTAGGTGTGATTGTGGGAGGAATCCTGAATGTGACCGTGAACGAAACACTAACCGGGAGAGTGCGGCTGCCGTGTAGAGCATTAATGGCCGCCTGCGCTTCTGCATTACTCTGATACTTTACAAATGCACAACCTGCAACATACAACACATTATTAGACAAAGCTGGAGCGATGTGGCAAATGCATTAGGCAGACATTTTATAGTCTAAAACAATGCATCATCAAGTGGGAGTATTTAAACATCCAATTAAACAAATTAAATCAAATACAATAAGCTGAGGTTGGTACAAATGCCCACATTATTTCCAAAAGCCTACATCTGTACATATGGGAGAGTAAAAGTGAAACAGTTAATGATTTACTACAGCAGGTGCATCTGTTCCATTCACACTCACACATAATTACCCAGAGCCCACACATCCATCGCTTTATAAATCACAGGCTGCGCCGAACGGACTATCGTTCATTAGCCAACATACGTGTGCATGAGCAAACACACGCTGCAACCCTGCTAGAGTTGTAATACTACAGTGCTGGTACAGATGTGCTTTACTGCCTACAATCTTATTGAAAGAGCCTTCAGTCAAAGACAACTGGCAAGCCTTGCTAAAACAATTTATTTGTAACAATTTACATCTATAATATGTGGTTAATTTGCCATCAGTGCTCAAAATGTGTGAAAAATGGAGTTCACTAAAAGAATATTTTTAAGGCAACGTAATTGAACACTGACAGAAGTTCCACTCAAACAATCTCTTCCAAAGAAATGCTAATAAAAGCAATAATAATAATTCCATTTTAATTATTGTTAAAAATTACATTTAATAAAAATATCTGTGAAAAATAGGATCACTAAAATAATAAAAAATAGTGTAAGGGAAAGTACTTGAACACACAGACAGAAGATCCACTTAAACCATCTCTTCCAAACAAGAAATGCTAATAAATAAATAAATAACAAATATGTATAATTAAGAAGAAAAATTTAAACAATAGTCAATCAGTTATTATTAAATACTTATTAAATTATTAAATAAAATGATTGATTAACAATACAATAATTACTATTATTGTTATTAGTAGTAGTATTATATTAATATATATTATATAATGATAAACAATTTATTATTTTAAAAATATTAATAACAATTATTATTTAAACAATAGTAAATAATTATGAATTTATTATTATTATAAATTATTAAGTACAATTGTAAAATACAATAATGATAATAATTATTGTTATTATTAGTAGTAGTTGTATTATATTAGAATTTAAGCTCATGATACAACTGGTTAGCCCTATTCTTTGCAGGGGAGCATGCAGTGCATGTATTTGAATGTGGTTTGCGCACCTTTGCTGGCTCCGTCAGGCCCTCTGAGTACCGTGCACTCCTCTATACTTCCAAAAGGCTCAAACATTTTTCTTACATCGGTGTCTGACAGCTGTTTCCCCAACATCCCCACAAACAGCTTCCTGTCTACAAACAGAAAGACAGATCATGATAAATGTACATATATTAGAGAAATGGCTGTGTGAGATCATGTATCATCCTTAAGTGGTAATAACCATCAAATCATCGCAGACAATATTTGTCACTCCGTGTTAGTGTAAGCTTCATAATGTGATAACATTAATGGACACTAGAGGGCCCTAGAGGACCGTCACTTGCAGCACAACACAATGGCACAGCTCATGTTTTTTGTGTGTATTAATGCAGAATAAAGAAGAAAGAACCATTTGCATTGTATTTCGGATTGTGTTGCTGTTTTCATCCAATAAGAGATTATCAAACCAGTCTGTACTCATTCCACGCCCATTTAATGGGTTTAAAATGTTTAATTCTTGAATTATTAATACATTTTGGTATTTGTAATACAAAATATGAAGTATGTGTTTACTTTGGAGACAAAACTATCCCATAAGTGAGCAAAATGTGGCAAAACTGTTCTTTTAAGACATTCTCAAAGGTAAAAATTATTCATAAATCAAGTCTGTATAGATAGACAGACAGACAGCCAAGTGTGTGTGTGTGTGTGTGTGTGTGTGTTATACCTCCTCTGCCCTCACTGTCTGCTGGCTTCACTTGAATGGGGCGGTTCATCTGAAACACAGAGCACATGATCACATGATCAACTGCACTTTATAATCCAGCTCTTTTATTTCCTCTTGTGCTTGTGTGTGCTTTTTTTGCAGAACATCATGAATGTATGTGCATGATGTAGATCTCATGACCTGCCCATCTGCCTCAATATTCCCGAGTTAAAAGCAAAATCTCCACACTGGCCCTGCATCTGTTGTGTTTCCATCCCTTTATCTCTGGTCTCTGCTCTCTCCACATAGCCTTTGTACTTGTTTGCCTCTATTTGAGGCCTAATCGCCATCTCTCTCTCACCCACTTTTATCTCTCATCAAGAATCAGTTTTATGCTCTTTCTCTCTCCATCCAACCTAATCCTGCTCCACTCTCTCTCTCTTTCTCTCGGGCACCAGGAAAAGCACACACCCACGCGGGGTTGGGGAAGTGATGAGATTAAGCACGCTCGCTGGCTAATCTGGATTACAGACGCACGGCAGATTAAAATGGTGAGAGATTCTGGGTTTGTGAAACAGAAGAGAGAAAGAGGCACCAGGGGAAAGAGGGGAGGGATGGTGAGATGAGAGGGAAAAGAAACATGAAAATAGAAAGAAGGGGAGAGAGAGAGGAAACGAGAATGGAAAGGGGGGGGGGAAATCAAGAAAAATTAGTATATATAACCAAGTTTAACCAAGGTTAGGTGGGGGGAAAGCCATTTGATAGTATTTATAATAGTATTATATTAGGATACACATTAATATCTTAATGTCTTAAAGGCACAATATGTAAGATTTTAGTAATAAAATATCCAAAAACCACTTGCACATTGTTATATATTTCATGCAGTTGTGCACTTACGTTATCCCAAAAGTTCCCAAGGATTTGTAAATCCAGAGAAATTCCCATTTTAAATAATGGCTCGTCCAGGTTCATTGTCACTTATCAATTACGTATTATCTATCAGGTTTCGCGCTATCGGTTTCCGCTTGTAGAAACTATGGCAACACACGTGGACAAAAAAGCTGCTGCAGTTAAACTAAATCCATTACGGCAGTCTCGATTTAAAATGAAAATGAAATGAAAAGTGTTGACTGCAGCATTAAATTTAGATCTGCTCAGTGTTGCACCATGAATCTTTTTCCGCGTTTTTACAGTGTTGCACCTTATAACCAATCACACACGAGTCTGTTGAGTTTATGAACGCAGCAGCCAATCAGAGGCGTTTAGATGAGCAATCGCTGAAACACCAGAGTTTTGTTCAGAGCGCGCGCGCTGAGTGTATTCTCTCATCATAAACAACAAAGTGCAGATGTACGTATGATGTAAGTAGGAGATTCATTCACCAAACAGTGTATAGAGAGCTTTACTGATTATAAGGGGAGTTTTTTGAGATTGCTTAAACTCGCGCTAGACTGAAGTCAGGCATACTGTTCTTTGACAATGTAACGTTAAATGTTCTTTGCTCGCTTTCTCTATATAATTTATTCGCTTTTTGAAAGACTTTGGAAGGTACAGGTAATAAAAAAAATTAATTAATTACACCCGTGAACATGATTACATAGTGTGCCTTTAATGTTTTAGTCAAAATATCAAACCATCCTTAAAACAAGATATATTTACCTGAGCAAAATTACATTAAAAAATTGTTTTCCTAGAAAGTATATTGAAAGTAAGTATACAGATTTTTGTCGCGAATACAGATTTTGTATTTATTTTAAGCATACACAAACTAGAAAAAGGGAGTAAAATTATTAAATGCTCTTCTTATTAGTTTATTTTTTTTCTACAAAGGAAAGACTACAAAATCAACAAATATAAAATGCTAAATATACTCTCTATAATATGTCTCTAAGACATTTGAGCAACTCTTAATATGATTTGTAATTTTGTTTCTCAGGTAAATTTATGTAGTATTAAGGCAGAAATATATATTTTTTTACTAAAAATGAGATTAATGCTAATCAAAAAAAAGAAAGAAACAATTTTATTCATAAAGGACACATTAAATTAATCATTTTATAATTGCTAATGTTACAAAAAAATTGCTATTTCAAATGAATACAATTCTTTTGAACATTCTATTCATCAAAGATACCTGAAAACATTTTCTGAAAATTCAGCTTTGCCATCACATGAATAAATGACATTTTAAAATATATATATAATTTGAAAAACAGCTATTTTAAATTGAAATAATATTTCACAGTATTACAGTTTTGACTGTATTTTTGATCAAATAAATGCAGCCTTGGTGAGCATATAAAATGAAAATGAAATGAAAAGTGTTGACTGCAGCATTAAATTTAGATCTGCTCAGTGTTGCACCATGAATCTTTTTCCGCGTTTTTACAGTGTTGCACCTTATAACCAATCACACACGAGTCTGTTGAGTTTATGAACGCAGCAGCCAATCAGAGGCGTTTAGATGAGCAATCGCTGAAACACCAGAGTTTTGTTCAGAGCGCGCGCGCGCTGAGTGTATTCTCTCATCATAAACAACAAAGTGCAGATGTACGTATGATGTAAGTAGCAGATTCATTCATCAAACAGTGTATAGACAGCTTTACTGATTATAAGGGGAGTTTTTTGAGATTGCTTAAACTCGCGCTAGACTGAAGTCAGGCATACTGTTCTTTGACAATGTAACGTTAAATGTTCTTTGCTCGCTTTCTCTATATAATTTACTCGCTGTTTGAAAGACTTTGGAAGGTACAGGTAATAAAAAAAATTAATTCATTACACCCGTGAACATGATTACATAGTGTGCCTTTAATGTTTTAGTCAAAATATCAAACCATCCTTAAAACAAGATATATTTACCTGAGCAAAATTACATTAAAAAATTGTTTTCCTAGAAAGTATATTGAAAGTAAGTATACAGATTTTTGTCGCGAATACAGATTTTGTATTTATTTTAAGCATACACAAACTAGAAAAAGGGAGTAAAGTTATTAAATGCTCTTCTTACTAGTTACAATTAGTAAAAGGAGTAGATGAGAGGCAAGAAGAGAAGCTGTGAGCCAAATTGACCAAATAAACATAAAGGCGTTAATTATGCATCAGGTGACATTTCGGCCCAATTCAGATGGCTTGGTTTTATCCGACCAGCCGCAATCGCTCATCTGGGGTCCATATTGATCAGGCACTCGCTCGCACACATACAGCGCCGTATAAACCTTACATAATGACTTTCACTATTTCACAGCATGCCAAAAACATATAACACGACTCACAGAGAAGGACACAAACAGAAGGGCATTTATCAGGATGACTAATGAAGCAGGTCTCATTGATTGCTGCAGTAATGCAAAGCACTGTAAAGATCTCCAACACCCACTATACGTCTGTTCTGGATCAGTTCTTTTACTTTCCTAGTGTAACTCCCTCTGGTGATTACTAATCTGATCTCAGCTGTAAGAGCTTGTTTTGCAGCGCTTAAATCTGATTTGCCCAAATCGCTTTGTTTATCTTCAGAAAACACCAGCATACAGGGGGAAAAATAACTTTTGAGAGCGTTTTATCATTGTATTGAGGGCAGCTGCTCCCAATTTAGTTCATAAACAAGGTTGTTTAATGGTTCTTCCGTCACTTTCAGCCAAGAACTCTTTTTGTGGACCCACAAAATTCAAATCATTATTTGCTGAAAAAAACTCTTAAACATCACTGGAGTTTACGTACATTCAAATACAGGGCACCAGATTCATTGTTGGTCAATGGAAATGGCATTTGATATTATTAATGTGCCATATTTGAATATACACCAATGTTCAAAGTTTGGGATGCATTACACTGATTAAAAGTGACAGTAAAGACATTTATAATGTTACCAAAAAATCTATTTCATAAAAGTGCTGTTTTTCTATTTATTAAAATAAACCTTTCTACTCGTCAAAGAATCCTGAAAAAATTGGCTAATAATTCCCACAAAAATAAAGCATCACAACTGTTTTCAACATTTATAAGAAGAAATGTTTGAAAATTCAGCTTTGCCATCACAGGAATAAACTACATTTTAAGATATATTAAAATAGAAAACATGTATTTTAAATTCTAAAAATATTTCACAATATTACTGTTTTTAGCTGCATTTTTCATCAAATAAATGCAGCTTTGGTGAACTTAAGAGACTTTCAAAAACATTACAAAATTTTACCAACCCCAAACTTTTGAATGCTAGTGTAAAAGATCATAAATAAGATCTAAAGGCTGCAGTGGATTAAAAAATATAACAATACACCAAACAGCCTCTGAATATCTTCAGAAGAAGTAACATTCACTTCCACTGCATGGTAAAGATTCACCAGGATATTTTTACAGTGACAATGAGTAAAGTATGACAGAACTTTCATATTTTGGTGAACAGTTCCTTTAAAAAGTTCTGATCAATGTATTTATCCATCAAAAGAGGAAAAGTAAAGCCCTCCTGAGTTCTTTGGACAGATTTTCTAAAGAACCAAAGAACATGCAAAGATGACATTTAGGGTGTTGTTAACCTCTTTTTTTATTTTCAAGAGTGTACAACACACAGCAGGTTGCTGGCCAACTGTTGACTGCATGAGCACTTTGAAATGGTCAGCAAAATTGATTAGGTTAATGATGACTGTGCCATTTTAGTTTCATTTTCGGAAAGGAGCCAACTCACATCAAGGTTGAGACAAAGGAACAGCTCGCACGCTCATTTAACATGCACGCATCAACAGGAAGATGGCACATCAGTTGAAAAAAAAAAATATTGAAAAGCATAATTTCTGTTCTGATACACCAGGCGGTACAAGCTACAGATGCATTATGTGGTACAAGAAAATCCTTGAGGAGCTTTATTCATATCTTTCCTTGCACTGTGATGATTCACGGAGCTTCAAGGATTACAGAAAGGAAATACAGAGACAGCGGCAGAGAACAAAAAGGAAAGGGTGAGGAGAAAGGGTACAAAGGGACGAAAGAGACAAGAAAAAGTGGGAGAGAGAGACAGAGAGAGAGAGTCGTGGCACTGCCACTTCAGGTCGGCACGGCAACCGATCCTCTGTC